AGTTTCCTGTTCTTTCCTGGTAGAGGGGACAAAGTGGCACACGGGAAGGTCCCTTTCCTAGTCCTGAATCCTTCTGCCCTTTGCTATCTGTGGGACCTAAACCAGTCCTCCCTCTCCTGGACGCCTCCGATGTGATTTCAGGGCATTTTCAAAGAAAGTGTCTGTTTCCTTCTAACCCTAAATCTCTAAGGTCTAAGATAGTCTTATCTGATCATTTTATATGTGGCTTTCATGGTAGCTACAATTGTCAGTCAACTAAGGATTTGACCAGGATTCTTTGTCAGGAAATTAGCTTCCTAGTGTATCTTTGTTTATTATTTATTTATTTGTAAAACATAAGCTGCTTGCTCTTCAACTGTCGTAATGGATACAACATATCACACTTGTACCTTGTCAGTCAACAAACACCTGTGGCCAGGCTTCCTGGGTGGGTTGTTCCTGGGAAAGGCAAAGCCTCTTTATGTGTCTGTGATCAACCACAATTAACCCAGAGACCATCTAACAATGGCCCAGGCACAACACCAGGCGAGTGACCCAGGGGCCCTGAGCTCCCCCTGGTCCCTGCAGATGGAGATGAAATCACTGTTGGCATTGGGGGTGGTGACTGAGGAAACTAAGCCCTTCCTACGTCCAACCCAGGCTGCCACAAAGTCAGCCCAAACACCTTGGTATCTCTCTGTGAGTCCCTCAGCAAACCCACCACCAATCACTTTAAGTCTAGACCAGCTTCCCAAAACTATCTATGCCACTTCCCTTTTATTAGAGAAAGAAATACAGAGTCAAGGAAAATTCCTTTAGAAAAAGACTAATCCAATTCCTATGTTTGAATACCTACATGCCTGGCACTGTCCTAGGCTGTAGAGGTTCATCGTTGAACCACACAGACACCATTCAAAGGCTTAGGTGCCATCTGGGCAGAGGCCGACCAAAAAAAATATCTATCTATCTATCTATCTATCTATCTATCTATCTATCTATCTATCTATCTATGTGTGCGTGTATATGTACACACACACACACACACACACACACATGCTTTTTAGGACCTTCTTCATGGTTTTCAAACAGATTCTGGATTGTCATGATTTCCTAAAAATGTGCTGTCCCAAAATGGAGCCAAAACTTCATCTATTCTAAAATAGATGAAACCTGGCTTTCCAGCTCATAGCGAAAGTGGGTTTTTGTTTTTAGACTTGTATTTGCCTCTGTTTGGAGAGGAGGCTCAAATGTGTCTTACTTGTTCCTTGGCTTGACTTCTAACTTCCATTTTCAGAACCATAGCAGGTGAGCCCACCGCGTGCCCTGGTCTCAGGCTGCGCCTAGAATGAGGGTCGAAGTGTTTGTGGGAGAATGTTGCTCTCTGCAGATTTAGTTTCTTACTCATGGCATCCAAATTAGCAGTTTAAGTCCACTTTTCTCCAAAAACAAACAAATAACTCAGCAAAATAACTGGATTTTTTGTTAGGTGCTTTCTGTTACAAAAACACAGAGATCCGGGCAGGTTGGCTAAGCAAGGGAGCATGGAGTACAGACAGACCCAAAATTAGGGTGGTTCAACTTACAATTTGTCTGCTGATGTCAATAAGCTCTCAGAAGAATCTGCACTTGGAGTTCTGAACTTTGACCTTCTCCTAGGCTGGCAACAGGCTGCAGAATCCTCTCTGGAGGTTCAGGGCGGTGGCAGCCGGCCGGTGATCACTCCAGGGACAGCTGGTGCTCTAGGCCGCTGCTCTACAGGTGGGTGTATCCAGTGCACTTTTGACTTCCCATGTTTTCAACTTCGGAGGGGTTTATTGGGAGGTAAACCCACAAAAGCTGAAGCCCCTCTGCACAGAGGTTCAAGTGGCATGAGACAGAGTGCTGGAATTCCAAGGTCACAAACCATAGGGCAGCTGGGCCTCACAGACACAAAGCGGGCCAAGGAGCTCCAGAGGCACAACCTGGGGCCTGAGATGACAGGACCCTGAGCCATCGGCTTCCCTCACGCCTTTCCCCACTCTAACCTGGATTCTTCCCAGTCGTATCTTTTCTCTGCCTAACTTCTGATTTGTGACTTGGCTTGCTCTCAGGGGCTCTCTGTGCTGCTGCAACAGAGCGTACTTTTAGAGCACGCGCCCCCCCCCCTTTGGCTCATGTCCACCCAATTTGCTCCATATTTCTCAATTCAAAATTTCTTTTTTTTTTTTTTTTTTTAGAGAATGAGAG